TCCCCACTGAAAAAAGAGAATATTGCCACAACCTCCAAATCCCAAGCTAAGGTATTTTGCTAAGGCTATTAACTGCCCTTACTCGTCTGGTAATCATTGTCATCTTTTTTGTGATGCTTTTTACCACCAAAATATGTTTTGCTAAATCCCATCTATTTCTTAGCTCTACCTGTCTACACATGTAACTAGAGGCCCCGTGCACAAATTCGTGCACCAGTGGAGTCCCTCGGCCTGGCCTGTGGGATTGGACTGAAACCGGCTCTCCAACATTCCCCAAGGGGTCCTGAATTGCGAGAGGGCACAGGCCAGGCCAAGGGACCCCACCGGTGCACGATTGGGTCAGGGGAGGGATGTGGGAGGTTGGCCAGCCAGGGAGGGACCAAGGGATTACTCCAGGGCATGTCTGGCCCGTCTGGCTTAGTTCGGATTGGCCGGACCCCAGCAGCAAGCTAAACTACCGATTGACTGTCTGCCCCCTGGTGGTCAATGCATGTCATAGTGAGCAGTTGAGCGGCCTTAGCATATCATTAGCATATTACATTTTGATTGGTTGAACGGATAACCAGGTGACTGGACACTTAGCATTTTAGGCTTTTATTATATAGGACTAGAGGCCCGGTGCACAAAAATTTGTGCACTGGCGGGGGGGGGGGGGGGGTGTCCCGCAGCCCCACTTGTGCCCTCTCGCAGTCTGGGACCCCTCGGGAGATAACGACCTGCTGGCTTAGGCCTGCTCCCGGGTGGCAGAGGGTAGGCCCAATCCCTAGGTGCAGCCCCTGGTCAGGCTCAGAGCAGGGCCGATTGCGGAGTTGGAGCGCCAGCCCCTGTCATGCACAGAGCGGGGCAGATTGAGCAGTTGAGATGACAACCCCAGTCACGCTCAGAGTAGGGCCGATTGGGGGGTTGGGGGCACCACCCCCTGTCACACTCAAGGCAGGGTCGATGGGGAGGTTGCAGCGCCAACCCCTGTCACGCACATAGCAGGGCCGATCGGGGGGTTGGGGGAGCTCCCCCCTGTCACGCACAGAGCAAGGCCGATCAGGGGGTTGGGGGATCTCCCCTCCTGTCATGCACAGAACAGGGCGGATCAGGAGGTTGCAATGCCACCCCTCAGTCACGCTCAGGTAGGGCCGATTAGGGGGTTGGGGCGCCGCCCCCTGTCACACTCAAGGCAGGGTCGATGGGGAGGTTGCGGCGCCACCCCCTGTCACGCACAGAGCAGGGCCCATCAGGGGGTTGGGGCACTCCCCCCCCCCGTCACACACAGAGCAGGGCCCAGGGGGTGTTGGGGCGCCACACCTTGTCACACACAGAGCAGGGCTGATCAGGGGGTTGGGGCGCCTTCCCCTGTCACTAACAGAGCAGGACGGATAGGGAGGTTGTGGCCCCGCCCCCTGTCACACACAGAGCCTCAGGGTGATCAGGGGGTTTGGGCGCTGCCCCCTGTCACGCTGCTCCAGGGGCCAGGAGGCTCAGGCCCTGAGAGCTTCCGGCTCTGCTGATCCCAGTGCTGGGAGGCCTCGCTGCTCTGCTGATCCTGGTGCTGGGAGGCTCCGCTGATCCCAGGCCAGGAAGCCTTGTGGCTCCGCTGATCCCGGGTTTGGGAGGCCTCATGGCTCCTCTGATCCCGGTGCTGGGAGGCATATTACCCTTTTACTGTATAGGATAGAGGCCTGGTGCACGGGTGGGGGACAGCTGGTTTGCCCTGAAGGGTGTCCTGCATCAGAGTGGAGGTCCCGCTTGGGTGTCTGGCCAGCCTAGATGAGGGGATGATGGCTGTTTGCAGCTGGTCACACCCCCTTCAGGGTGGGGGTCCCCACTGGGGTGCCTGGCCAGTCTGGGTGAGGGGCTGAGGGCCATTTTCAGGCTGGCGGGTGACTGAAGCTCCCAACTTCTCCTTTTTTTCTTTTTTTTTTAATTCTGGGACTTATTTACCTTCTATGGCTGTCACTGGAGCTGAAAGCCATCTTTAGCTCTGAGGCTCGGCTCCAGCTCTGAGACCTCAGCTGCTGAAAGCGGGTTTCTGGGCTTTATTTACCTTCTGTATTTGAAACTTTGTTGCGACTCCAGCTCTGAGATCCCGGCTGACTGAAAGCAGGTTTCTGGAGTTTGTTTAGCTTCTATATTTGCAACAAAGTTTCTTAGAGAGCAGCTCAGAGGCCGGCAGCGGCAGGCGGGGAACCTTGGCTTCCTCCATCACTGGAGCAAGCAAGCCTCCTGATGGCTTCAGTTGCCTGGCTGCCGGCCGCCATATTGGTTGGCAGTTAATTTGCATATCGCCCTGATTAGCCAATGGGAAGGATAGCGAAGTTACAGTTAATTACCATGTTTCTCTTTTATTAGATAGGATGATTATATACAGTGTGTTTGGCTACTTTTTCTTGACTTTTACTTGTGAGAGTCATTCATGTTGTACATGACTATAGTCTATTTGTTTTCATTGCTAAATGGAATTCACTACATAATGTTGTACATATATCAGCTATTCTCCCCTTCATGGACATTTGTATTGTGTTTGTTTGTGTGTGTGTATTTTGTTGAAAATATTTGTTTTAATATCAGAAAAAGAATCTTTATTATGTTAGTGTTATATTCTAAATATTCATGGATATGTGTTTTATTACTTGAAGGTTTTTTTTGCATTTCGCCTGAAGTTAGGTTTTCTTTTTTTTTTTTGTCTAAAGTTTTACATATGTCTCCTTTTTCCTCAATTGACCGCCCCCCCCCCCCAATTGAAAATATTTTTATTGATTTTTAGAGAGGAAGGAAGGGACAGGGAAAAAGAGAGAATACCAATGAGCAGAATAAATCAGCTGCCAGGGATCCTGCATTCTGGGCATGTGCCCTGACTGGAAGTTGAACCACCAGCCTTTCAGTGCAGGGGACAATGCCCAACCAACTGAGCCATCCAGGTCTGGGTGGGTTGTTTTCTTTTATTCATTTTTTTGTTACTACAAGTAATGCTGCTATGAACATTTTGGCATGTGTTTCTTGGTGCACACAATTATACTCATCTAGACCAGAGCATATATCTAGGAGTGAAATTACTGGCTCTCAGATTATGCATTTCTTCAATTTTCTATTGAAGACCAAACTGCTTTCTAAAGATGTTATACCAATTTCTAAGCCCATAAACAATGTATGAAAAGTCTTTAACATCCTCACCAACACTTTTTATTATCAGTCCTTTTAACCTTAGCCTATACCAGTGATGGCGAACCTATGACACGCGTGTCAGAGGTGACACGTGAACTCATTTTTTGGTTGATTTTTCTTTGTTAAATGGCATTTAAATATATAAAATAAATATCAAAAATATAAATCTTTGTTTTACTATGGTTGCAAATATCAAAAAATTTCTATATGTGACACGGCACCAGAGTTAAGTTAGGGTTTTTCAAAATGCTGACACGCCGAGCTCAAAAGGTTCGCCATCACTGGCCTATACGGTGGTATTGAGTTTTGTTTTTAATTTACACTTCCCTGATGACAAATAAAGTTGAACACTATTTCATATCTTTTCTGGCCATTTAAATATCTTCATTTTAATATCTATTACTTAGAAATTAAGAATAAGATAAAATATTTTAAAAACATAATACGATATATAATGTACTCTATTGGACTGTAATGTAAATATCTTTTTTTTAAATCTTCACCTGATTACATGCTTATTGATTTTGGAGAGAGAGAGAGAGAGAGAGAGAGAGAGAGAGACTGAGAGAGACATTGATGTGAGAGAGAAACATCAATTAATTGTCTTCCCTGCCTTCCTGTGTACACCAACCTGATGTAACCAGCAACTTGATGGAACCAGCAACTAAGTACACCCCTATGCTCCAACTGACTGAGCTACACTGGCCAAGGTTAATGTAATTTGTGGTGTCTTGCATTCTCATAATGGTGTTTCTTAAGTAATAATGATTTATAACTGTATTACAGTCACATTTGTAAATAATTCATTCTTCTTCTTGTGTTTAAGAACTCATTTACTTCTTGTGAATTGTTTTGTAATTTTCTTGTATTTTACCTTTCCTATTGAGATCCAAATTCACTGGTAAGTGATTTTTGTATAAATGTGGAGAGAGGTTGAGTTTCCTTTATCCTTGGGTTATAGTCTAGAATCTCTATTTGGTTCCACAGATCAATTTTATCTTCTTGAAGCAATGTCACACTGTCATTATTGCTTTAACTTTGTAGCAACCCATTAAGCAGCTCATCTCCTATCCCATTGGTCAATATGTCTGTCTTTAAGCCAGTATCACACTGTTTTGATTATTGCAGCTTTGAAGAAAATCTTGAAATGAAGTGTCTGGTCCTCCAACTCTGTTCTTCTTTATCAGAATTGTTTTGGCTCTTCAGGCCCCCTTGAAATTCCATATGAATTTTAGGAAGCCTTTTTCTATTTCTGCCAAAATCTATATTGAGATTTTGGTAGAGATTAGATTAAATTTGTAGATTGTTTTGGGGGTATTGACATTTAATAATATTAAGTCTTTCAGCCCATGAATATCTTTCCATTTATTTATGTCTTATTTAATTTATTTCTGCAATATTTTGTTGTTTTTATTGTCATCTTTCACCTCCTTCATTAATTCCTAAGTATTTCTTTATGTTATTGCAAATATAATTATTTTCTTAATTTCATTTTTGGATTGCTTATTGTTAGTTAATAGACACACTGATTTTTGTGTGTTGATTTTGTATCCTGCCTCTTTGCTAAATTTATTTATTAGTTCTAAAAGTTTTCTCGGTGAGGAATCATTAAGGTTTATATATATAAGGTCATATCATCTGCAATCATATTGTGGAATCATAACAATTTACCCTGAATGTATCTCCATCTTCTCCAATACTGTTATAGTAGTGAAAATGGGTTGAAATTAATATTCATGGAAAAATTTAAAGAGATAATAATTAAAGGCAGTTTGAGGAATGCTGGTAGAAGTGTAACAGGTTATCTAAACTATAGGTTATTTGCCTTCTAGTTTAAAGGCTTAATGTCAGTCAGCCTGAAGCTGGACCTCCTGACCTTGGAGTGTATCTGTGCTCCTCAGTTGACTGCTGCTTTGAGTTTTTATGACTCTTGGGGCCGAATCCATGTGTATTCTGGTGGGTCTTCAAGATACTCCTTTATAATAATTAAAGATGAGTTAAGGAAGAGACTATATTTAGAGCTCTTAATTATTTTGGAAAAGAGTGTTATGTGTTTACTCTTTTAAAAACGAAAAAACCCACAAATTTTATTTCTTGATCTTTCTGGAAAAGAGAATCTATATGCTATCTTTCCACATTCTAGTATTTTTTTTTTAAATCTTCATGTGTTTTATGTTAAAGTCATCATTATAACTTTCTGCTGTGACTATGTATCTAGGAGTAATTTCCTAGTCAGGTGTTTATCTAGCAGTTGGTTTCTCTTACACAATTCACAATTTCAAGAAGATGGCAGGAGAAAAAATACAAAAACGGGTACATAGGTTATAGGATTTAATTTTTGACCTTAAATTTTAAATAGGCATACTGACTATTTGTGAGGAAAGCAAATCTAGAAATTCCTTTTTAAACTACTTTTTATTGTTGGCATTATATTGCCACCTAATGGTTACCAGTGGAATGAAAAGCAAAGCTTTTGCACTTGGATGTCAGGAAGTTTCACCACAGTCAGTAAATAATGAAAAGTCAAGAGATAAGTATAATATCCATATTCTTTTTGAATATATCAAGAGCTGTTACATATTTGCAGATTGGTTGGAGAATGGCTCAATTTTAGGCCTCACACATATTATGAATATGTTGTTATGTACTCAACTCTTAACTGCTTATTATAAAACTGTACCAGAATCCTTGTCAGATCCAGGAAGGGGCTGCAGTGGTTCTCAACCTTCCTAATGCCACGACCCTTTAATACAGTTACTCGTGTTGTGGTGACCCCCAACCATAAAATTATTTTCATTGCTACTTCATAACTGTAATTTTGCTACTGTTATGAATCGTAATGTAAATATCTGATATGCAGGATGTATTTTCAGGGGTCGCGACCCACAGGTTGAGAACCGCTGGAGAGAAAGGGATTAGAGGAGCTTGCATGCGTGGTGATACCACATCTTAGCTTTAAACTCCCCTAATTCTTCTGAAAACTCACTTTGCTGAAAGATCAGTGAATTGCTGGGGAATCGTTCTTGTTTTGGCAGAGAATAAAATGGATTTTCAGATAAACTCAAGCTTTCTTGCTAGAGAGCTTATCATTAGAATTAAAGCTTGATTAATCAGCATTCTCTCTCTCTCTCTCTCTCTCTCTCTCTCTCTCTCTCTCTTTACTTTTAACCTCCTTTGGACTTAGTATTTAAAATAATATCTTGTAATTTATATGTTATTGAGCTTGGTATTTTTAACTAGAATTGACCTTAACCAAAGTTTTCAGATACATCTTTGTGCCACACAGAGCTTTGCCTCATTGCCCTCAGAGAATGGGGCTTCAGGTTTCCCAGGCAAGGGAACCCCGAGACTGTCCTGCACATGCCCGTGCACTCACCGAACTCTGCTAGAGACATACATCCTTCAATAAAGGCTCAATGTGAGCACTAAAAAACTGCATAGAAGTTGTCATCTTATTTAGGTAACATGGCCTGTAGAGAAGAGGATAGGAAAAATTAGGTTTGTTGCTGATTGAGCTCTCAGAAGGGGACCATGTACATAGCTATTCCCTTGTTCTTTTCATTTTCTTTCTTTTCCAAAACTCATCCCAAGCATCCCTCACAAATCCTTCTCTAACCTCACCATTATCCTTTCGAGCATGTCTTCACTCCTCAGAAGATAATTAAAACTCAGTCTCATGTTCCTTCTTGCTTCTTGCATATCCTTTAATGTTTGCTTTTTCCCCTCTCCGTTTGCTTACAGAGGTGGGCACTAGGCCCCTAGAAAGTAGGAGGGAAATGACTCAGGACCTGCTCACCAGCAGTATGTGTGGCTCACTTTCTACTCCATTACTTACCTAAAGACAAGCATACACCACAATCATGAATATTCATTTCTTTACAAAGACTACATGGTCTAGTACATAATAAGAGTATGTCTCCTATTACATAACCTTTGTTTATTATGCTAAAGCTTCAAAATCAATTCAGAACAAAGTCTTCACTGAAATTGCAGGGTTACTTTGCCTGTTATGAAAGCAGCATTGCTCTACAAATAGTGAGCTCATGATATGTAGCAAAGGATTTGTTATCTACTGCTGCTGTAGCAAATTACCACAAATTTAGTGGCTTAAAATAATACAGATCTATCTTTTACTGTTCTGAGGGCCAGAATAATGCAATCAGTTTTAGTAAGCTAGGCCAAGGTATCCGCAGGTCGGTTCCTTCTGTCTCTGCAGAGGGAATCTGTTTCTTCGTCTTTTCAGCTTCAAGTGATTGCCTCTGCTCCTTGCATGCAGCCCGGTAGCCCTCTTCTGCATCTCCAAAGCTCATCACTCCCATTACTGCACCAGTCATCACATCACCTACCCCTCTGTCTTACTCCTCCAGCTCCTTCTGATGAGGATTGTTGTAATCACGTTGGGTCCAGCCAGATAAGGCAGGATAATCTCTCTATCACACAATCTTTAACTTAATCCCATCTGTAATGTCCCTTTTGCTGTATAACTTTCACAGGTTCTGGGGAATAGCATGTGGACATATTTGAGAGCCATTATTCAGTCTACCACAGTCCCTGTGTGGCTGAAGTAGATAACCATGCATATTTATTTACAGGGCAATATTTTTTTGTCAGTTAGCAAATTAAATGATCATAGAGGTATTTATGGACATCGATAGTCATCAATATCAATCTATTAATCAAATGTCAAAATAGCAACCAGTAGATTGTGAGCATTTACATTTAGTACATTTTGTTCAATTCTTACTCTTTTTTATTTCATTTTTTATTTCATCAAAGTTAATTTATCTAAGCTATTGTTTTATATATTCTCATATCTCTGCCATTTCTTTTCAAGTTCTTTGGGGCTTAGAATGCTTATCCTCTAATTTACTGAAAATTCAAAATTCTAAGTAAAGTAAGAATTTTAAAGGAAGAAATAAAATAAATGAGGAATAAGCAGGTATGAGGGATCTATATTAAGTAACAGTTAGAGAAGTGTAAATGTTTTTGCCCAGTAGGTGGTATTCCTGATTCAAAAAAATGTACTAAAAGATCTCTGAAGCTCTCATTTCTTTTGGAAGTTTGTTTATTTATGTATTTACATTTATTTATTTATTTATTTATTTATTTATTTATTTAGTGTGTGTGTGTGTGTGTGTGTGTGTGTAAGCTTAGTCATTTTATTATTTTCTCCTATTTTTAAAATATTTTTTTTATTGCTTTCAGATAGGAGAAGGGAAAGGGGGAGAGAGAAACACTGATGAAAGAGAATCATCAACAGGCTGCTTCCTGCATGCCCCTCACTAGGGATTGAGCCCATCAGGGCATAGGAATTGAACAGTGACCGCCCCCCCCCAGCCCCCTTGTGCATGGGACAATGCTCAACCAACTGAGCAACATCGGCCTGGCATTTTTGGCCTAATTTTTAATATAATATTTAAATGAGTTGCTGGGTTTCTGACATAAATAGCTTGCCATTAAGTTTCAATATCACATGTAAATATTTTATACTATGCAAACATGGGTTTTAAAATGCAGGAATAGAACAGTTAATTGGTCATATTTCCTCATTTTTTTAAAAAAAATTTTACGTTTCTCTTTTGAAGTATCACAAAGTTATTTTAACAAAGGATAGTTATCCAGACTCCCTACTTTGAAAATATAAGTATCAATCCAGAAAAATTAACATAAAAATACTATCTAATGATGTTAAAACTTTGCAATATTAAACAAGACCAATGTTGTTGTACCAAGTAGTTAATTTTGAAATCAGATAGTAAAACATATAGTACCTTTCTCCAATGTTTTTACAGCTTTAAAATAGAGCACCGTGTTTACAATAGAGCTTTGTGCTACTGTTAGAGCATAACTAAAGCATTTCTATATATGCAAATTTCCAAATATTAAATTTTGACAGTCATGTCAGTAGAGTTGCATTTTTCTAGGCCATAGTTAGTGTTATCTTCTTTGCCAGAAGTAAATCCTTGTGAAAATACATTTTGGGGTATTTTTTTTCTACTAAGTAATTATGTTTTTACAAACCCAGATTCATGAAAAAAGGAGAGGTCCAAATAATAACTAAGAAAATCAGAGACTATAAGAACAGGCCCACCACAAATCCTGATATTGAAACCATTACAGACAGTTTAAAATATATGTGCTATATATGTTCAAGGAAATAATAAATGAGATTAAGAAACTCAGCCATAACCTGTTAAAAAAGAAAACAACATCAACAACAACAACTAGAACTCAGAATATATATAACTAGAGGCCTGGTACATAAAATTCATGCACTGTGGGGTGTCTCTCAGCCCAGCCTGCACCCTCTCCAATCTGGGACCCCTCAGGGATGTCCGACTGCCGGTTTAGGCCTGATCCGGGACTGCTGGCTCCCAACCGCTCGCCTGCCTGCCAGCCTGATCACCCCCTAACCACTCCCCTGCCAGCCTGATCCATGCCTAACTGCCCTCTGCTGCTGGCTCAGTCACCTCTAACTGCCCTCCCCTGCAGGCCTGGTCGCCCCTAACTTCCCTCCCCTGCTGGCCTGATTGCCCATAACTGCCCTCCCCTGCAGGCCATCTTGTGACCACATGGGGGCGGCCATGTTGTGCGAGGGCATGATGGTCAATTTGCATATTACCTCTTTATTATATAGGATAGGTGAAGTAACACAATGAATGGTTTTTACAGTAGATGGTTTTTACAGAAACAGCTTTAGAAAGTATTATTGAAATTAAATATAGGTCAGAAAAATAGCTAAATTCAAGTACAGAGAAATGAGAATTATAGGAAAACACACAAAAGAGACACAGGGAATACAATGGATGTGTCTAGGTGTATATAACAGGAGTCTTAGGAAGAGAGTAAAGGAAAGGAGTAAATATCAGAGTGCATTTCACATGGTAATACTCAATATTGTTTCACAGACATGTTTCTGCTTCATGTGTTTGCATTGAAGCAATGTATAGTATTCT